CCAGGGGAGAGCCCTGGAGGTGGGTCCTCTTGGGGCAGGTTTGGTGTGTGTGTGTGTGTGTGTGTGTGTGTGTGAAGGAGAGGGGATCCTGGGGGACTGCCCCCCCCCGCATGCCCTGTTAAGTTCTCCTTGGTGACATCCAGTGTGAGGAAAAGCCCGTTTGGTGTAGTGGTGAAGTGCGCAGAGGACTCTAATCTGGGAGAACCAGGTTTGATTCCCCACTCCTCCTCCACATGCAGCTGCTGGATGACCTTGGGCAAGCCGTAGTTCTGACAAGAGCTGTCCTTGAAAAAGAGCAGTTTCTGTCAGAGCTCTCTCAGCCCCACCTACCCCACAGGGTGCCTGTCTGTTGTGGGGAGGGGAAGGGAAAGGAGTTTGTAGGCTGCTCTGAGACTCCTTTGGGTAGGGAAGGGCCACGGGGTATACATCCAATCTCCTCTTCTTTAGTGAATTTGAAACCTTGAGCCTGGAGACCAAACCCTGTGAGGAAAGGCCAAGGGACTTGGGAAGGTTCAGTCTGGAGAAGAGGAGGCTGAGGGGGGACATGGTCGCTCTCTTTAAGTATTTGAAGGGCCGTGTCACTTAGAGGAGGGCAGGGAGCTGTTCCTGTTGGCAGCAGAGGACACAGGACTTGCAATCATGGGTTTAAATTAAGGGCGGGAAGGTACCGGCTGAATATTAGGAGAAACATTTTGACAGTAAAGTGTTGTGCAACAGTGGAATCCACTGCCTTGGGAGGTGGTGAGCTCCCCCTCCCTGGCCATCTTTAAACAACAGTTGGACAAACCCTTGTCAGGGATGCTCTAGGCTGATCCTGCACTGAGCATGGGGTTGGACTAGATGACCCTGGAGGGTACCCTCCAAATCTGTGATTCTCCTCCCCTCCATTTCATCCTCACAACAGCCCTGTGAGGTAGGTGAGACAGAGAGTGTGACTGGCCCAAGGTCACCCAGCGAGCTTCCATGGCATAAGTGGGCAGGCCCACGAGGCTTTTGGGGCTTTCCCCCCTTTTTTCAAGGTACAGCCCAAAAGAATTTCCTCCGTGAATGATTTTTTCAATTATTTAAAAACTTTTTAAAAGGTGTGCACTCCTTTAAGCAGAGTAGGGTGCTGTCGTTGACTAATTCATGCACTGAGCAAGGGGGTTGGAGTAGGTGTCCTCTAGGATACCTTCTAACTCTGTCAGGAAACTGGTCTCCTTTAAGAGAGATTTTCTGCCGGAGTGTTCGCTTTCTTGACAACAGAAGTCATCATCACCTCCATCTGCTGGCTTGTTCTCAGAATTGTTGCTCTGGCTGGCAGAGATGATTAACTTGCAGGAGCTGTGAACTGTCCTCTAAAGTAGTTGACAGCTTGCAGTTTAGAGATCTCTCCCCTAGTAACAGCTTTCTATTGGCTAAATGGTTAAGAACACCTATGTATTTATTCATTATCGCATTTCTACCCCGCCCTCCCCGCGAGCGTTCTCAGGGCAGCTGACAATAGGGCACCATGTGCCAAAACATAAAACAGCTCAATGGTTACAATCAAAATCTAACAAGATGGAATCAAATTTACAAGATGGACTCCCCAGAATCTTACATAACAATAGGGAGGTTAAATACCCATGGTTGTTACTCGGCCCCATCCAGCTGTACTAACCACAGCAATGTTATGGTTGATCTTCATGGGGCCACCCCTCCGGTCTACCAATGATGGTAGTGGTAGTGGCGGCTCGTACTTGGAAGCCTGGCAGAAGAGCTCCGTCTTACAGGCCCTGTGGAACAGACAG